ACACCCCTGACCACCATTTTTAATCCATTCACTCCTGCATGGTCCTACAATCCAATCACCTTTTCAAGGCCACACCTTTCAATTACCATAATAGGATTTCCCACTCTCTTAACAGTCACGGTGGGGGCTAAGTTTCTAATACATAAAACATGGGGGACACAATTCAAGCTTCAGTGAGTTTGGGGGGGACATAATTTAATCCACTACAGTGATCGACCCAAGGCTTGAAGCTAGGTAGGCTGGACCCAAAGCCCATAACCTTAGCTTCTGATGAATGTCTGAACAAAGAACCAGGAACGAAATGTATGACTGTGTCTTTGGCCAGGAATTTGTTTTAAAATATCATTTATGTATTCTCTCTGCCCAGCGATCTGACTTTTCTTCAAATTGGGGCTTTGTTTTTCTTTCTAGCTAACCCACCATAGAATGATTTGGTCAGTTTTTCTCTCTCATCTTCCTGGTGAGATGTCTGATTAATCAAGGGCATTCATGTATTTACTCAGCCCCAATTTGGCCTTTTCTACCTGGCTCAGCTAGGTCGACCCCCCACTCCTCGCCCACGGTCAGCCCCCTCTCTCTTCCTCCTTCAGTGGTGACTAAGCACTGCGCCAAGCACTTTGGGGAGCCTGAGGATGATCCAGGAATGGTTTCTGCCTTCAAGAATGTTGTGATGGACTAGAAGAGATTAGGAATTCACACAACAAGCATGCTAGTTGCCACGTTGCCAACTTGAGAGCAGATCTCATCTCCAGTGGGCTCAACCTGCTGGAACACGGACAACCCGGGAATGGAACAAAGAATTCCTTTCTTGTTTACCTTACAGTTATTTGAAGCCTGTTGCAGGGTTTTAAGTATTCTTTTTTAATATATAATTTGTACATGGCGCAATAACACTGGTGGTTTGTTAGCATTTCTGATTTTATAGAATGTTCTGGAGTAACTCAAGCATCTTGAGCTAATAATTAAATAATAACCAACCAGGAAAGGCTGACAATTTCTTAGGTTGTCTCCTTTAACCACCATCTACAGTCCTATCTCAAGCCTTTTGCCTACCTTTTCAATTTTTCTCAAAAATAAGTGTTCTTGAGCCCAAATGTAGAAACAGGTACACTTGGAGAAACTATTAGATTAGTAAGAAAAAGCACATTCTGGGTTGTCCTTCTGCTCCCTGAATTAAAACTCCTGACCCTCCTCCTGAGTGATGGAAACGGCTTCCTGACGGGTTCCCCGGCTTCTGCTCCCACCGCTGCCAGTGTGGTCTCTTTAAATACAGATCTCATAACACCATCCCCCGTTTCAAAAGATTTCAAGAGTGCCCTTGTCTATAGAATGAACTCTAAGTTCTTTAAAGCCCAAAGTTCATCATGAATTTGACTCCAGCCTGCCTCTCCCACACCTTGCCTCGACCCTCACATGCATGTTAGCAACAGTCTCAACAAATCGCTTGCCTCTTTCTTACTACAGCCTGCATTTGACATATGCAACGTCGATCAATGGTCCCCTTAGCCTAGAATACCCATTCACCATTTGTCTTCCATGCAGACCTAACTCAAGCATCATCTCTTCTCGGAAGCCTTCCACCAACCCCAGCCAGATGCATTGCTCCTCTGGATGCTCCAAGAGCATCATGTTCTTATTTCCATTGCAGCCCTTATCTCAGCTGGAATTGTATCTTTGTGTGCATGCACGCGAGTGTGTGTCCTTCACTGAACTGTGATCTCCTTGAAGGCAGAAATATTTCTTGCACATCTCTATCTCTGCAGACATGGCAAAGGAAGCTGGCACAGAGTAAAGACACAATGCATACTTGTTTTATTGCATTTGCATGTGGACATGGGATGGTTTGAATGCAAGCATACACTCCACCTCCAAAGTTACTATCTAATGATGCTTATGCATGGCACAAAGAGACAAGGCCCATCAAATTCTAGCAAACAGTAAATTTTCCTGGTCCTCCAAATTTAATAAAACCTTACTATCTTTTCCTCTGTGTATGGTTTTAACAGAATTAATAAAAACAGAAGAGATAGTGTCCCCTCAAACATTTGGGGGCCTCCAGTTCAGTCTAGAGCAGCTCCAAAGGCCGGTGCTTACCTCATTTGAATTCTGGGCAGCACTGCAGACATCCATCTGCCTTATTGCTGCGGGGATCATGGCTGCACAGGCAGCCTGAGAAGCTGGCATTTGGGGAAATGCCAGGAAATTTCATATAGTGTAAAACAATCAGAAAAATGATAAACAAATACTGCATGTACAAATAATTATGTAAATTATGTAAACCAGAGAAACTAAAAATCTTAAATTCAGGGGCTTCTTGGGTTATTATATTTTTTTAAACCACCCACAAACCTGCTGCAGGAATGATTCTATTCCAAAGAAGTGATTAATACTAAGAGCAGAAGGGGGGAAAACTGCACCAGGGAGAACTGAAGTCAATCCAACCCAAGCACAAGCTGCTGCTGACATATTAAATATGAAACATGGTCCCTCTGGAGCTTACAGGTCCTTCTTAGCAGAGCGGTGGAAAACTGGGTGTCGACTGTGGGAGGCTCATCAGGGTGTGAGTTGCAGTCGAGTTGTTTGGTATCATTTCCACAGCCTTGCTATACAGTTCTCTGCAAACTGCATCCCGCTGGCTGGTCTCCAAGCCACATAAGACTACAGAATGGCTCAGGCTTAGTGACACTGTAGGTAGAAAATGTTCTCTCTTCTTCCTCTGCATTGTTCTCAGTCAGCTGTAAGGAAGAAGCACACTGGACTCAAGGACCAAGTGATGCTCTTTTGGCGTCGTCATTTATGGTGTAAGTGGCAATTTGGGGAAACAGCCTACATGTTCAGTCATAGGGCATTGATTAAGGAGGTTATTGTTCAGCCAAGCAAAGGTACAATATGCTGTGATTTTAAACAAACTTGTAGGAGATTATTAAACTGCATGAAAATACACTCATAAGAATATTGTAAAGTGACAAAGAAGTGTGCTAAAAAAGAATACTCACTATTGGATCCTATTTGTATTAAAACGTATGTAATGTGTATGCACCAAAAAAATACTTGTGTTAGTAATAGCGGTTATCTCTAAATGGGACTGCAGATCTTTATTTTTGTCTTGTTTTGAAATCTCTTTCACTTTTATGACAAATTTGCAAGGTTGTTCTTTTAAAATGTTAGTTTGTCATTGTAGAGAAGAATAGAGATAAATCCTCTTCCCCCACAGACTCAATCTAAGAGTTTTCAAAGGGAATCACAGCCTATTTAATATTCAATGATACATGAAGTTGAAAAGAAAGTTCCAAATCAAAGAGTTGCATAAAATATCTAGGGATTATAATACCCATCTGTACTCTTTTTCTAGTATACCCACAGTGCCCTTTACCCAGGCTGTGGGCTCACAGAGAAGAAGAGAAAACAGGCCTGTGTCTTGCTTTCTTCTCACTTAATGCTTCTTTTGTCTCTGTCTCTCCTCTGCTAGCACTGGGTCATATAGATTCATTTGCTTTACTTGATCTTGATGTTTTTAAACTGCTCCATAAGCTCAATAACAATTTTTAAGACTAAACTGGGATTAATTGGAGACCCTTAATGACCACATGTAATTACAACCCCTAAGGAGGGAAGCTGCAGTAAACTCCCAGACTCTCAAGAACAGCGGTGCTGGTGGAAGCCCACGCTGCTGGGCAGCTTTGGTCGGGTCCAGAACCACCAACCATGCCCCACCCTGGTGCACTTCCATGTTGGGTGCATGTTATTAGAACTGTGCTGTCCTTTACAGTGACCACAAGCCACGAGTGGCTATTGAAATGCAGCCAGTCAGAATTGAGACGTGCTGCAAGTGTAAA